GTGTCCGGTTTAAGGTCATTGCGTGTGGATAGTCATGGCGTGGGCGAAACCCCCGCAAAGGTATATGACCCTGAAAGCAGTCCTCTGTTGTGGCAGTCGGCGACAGGCACGACTCCTCAGAAGAGCCTGCAAGGTTGCTGGCCTTTTGTCAGGCTACACTCCTAACAGAAGTTGCTGTACGCGTGCTTTGACCGAGCTCGTTGAGGGTTAGTGTAATTGAAAGGAGGGAGTTCGCTGCCCTAAATCCACAGCTCACACACACAGCCTACTGCCATTTGCAGATATTGTCTCGTGACAAACAACAGCTTCAACGAATTTCTTGATATTCGGAAGGGTGACATTTTTAAGGATTAGTATATGGGAGTCAGTACCTTTCCTGAATTTTAGCTAATCCCATATGTGTTATTGAGGAAGCAGTTCAAACTACCTCCACCGAGCAAAAGATGGAAGGAAAGGCCGTTAGACGTCCAGGAAAAAGGGACGGTTGCTACAACCTTTAGGAGGAAGATCTCGCAATGTTCCGCCTCAACAAATGTGCTCAAGCTGTGGACTCACAAACATGTCAACTGGCAAAGAAAGTTGTCCATCAGAAGACAAAAAAGAGCTAAAACTAAGAATTGTCACTCACGTGTTTAGCATAAGCTGTCGTATCCAAGTGGACCTGTTGGCGGATTTTATCGTCGTCCGTTTGCGCTGCACTGGAAACCGTGGAACCACTGCGCGCCACCCTAAGTCGTCTTAAACTGTCCTCCACCTTCTTCACTGAAGCTATCAACTCCTCCGTTTGCGCCTGATACCTAAAGATGTGAGGGAAGAAGCAAGCAAGCAAAGAAAATATTCAGACAGGTAGTCAAGAAGAGCGAAACACTGTAAAACAGCTCCAACGGAAACTTGAGCAATCCGGGACTGATAGTAAGCCCGCGGGCAATACTATAACCCTACTACCAACTGTTAGGGCGAGGCCCAAAGCAGAGCGAGACAGATGAGTTTCGTTAGCGGTCAGGTGAATGTTCATCAACAAGCTAGCGGATTTTGGTAGGATTTTGTCGTGGAGTCGTCTGGGGAAAGTGTGAAGCGAGGGATTTTCGGGGAGAGGAGGGGCGGGGCATACCAGGGAAAGAATTAGAACCCAATTTGAATGCCCAATAAAAAAGTTACGATGGCAAGTTGGGTCAGA